CATCTTAGTGTTGTCTGCGAATTTGAACAGGGTGCTTTTTACCTGCTCATCCAAGTTGCTGATGAAGATGTTAAACAGTGCAGGCCCGAGGACCCTGCGAAGCCTCACTGCCCACATTCCTCCAGGTCAAATAGGACCTGTCCACCCCCCCTCTCTGGGTGTGGCCCTCCAGCCAGTTAGTGACCCATCTGACTGTAGGCATCGACACCACAGTCTCCTAGTGTTTTTTAATGAGAATGGGGTGAGAGACTGGGTCAAAGTCTTTCTGGACTTTAGGAAGGTCTATATCCACCATGACACCTGCATCCAGGGATTTGGTGACCTGGTCATAGAAGGGCACCAGGTTGGTCTGACAGGACGTGCCTCTGATGAACCCATGTTGGTTTCCCCTAAGCATAGTCTCCCCCACTGGCCCCTCATGGACATGTGCCAGGATAATTTTCTCAAAAAGCTTACCTGGGACCAAGGTAAAACTAACGGGCCTATAATTTTCTGGGTCCTCCTTCTTCCCTTTTTTGAAAATAGGAACCACGTGTGCCAGAGGAATGAAAAAGGGCCAGAGCACCATGAGTGCTTGTAAAGCCATGCCAGAGGTCCCGCAATAACCTCTGCTAGTTCCCTCAGCGCTCTGGGGTGGAGATTGTCAGGACCTGCTGATTTTTAAATACGTCCAGTCCCTTCAGAAGTTCCCTGACTAGGTCCTTGCTGACCCTAGTCTGGATGGGCCTACAGGGGTCCCAGTGGGGGGAATGACCAGGTCCCCTCAGAAAAATGGAGGCAAAGAAACTGTTAAATAGGTTAGCTTTGCTGTCTAGTGCGATGACCAGATTTCCTAGCACATCCTGCAGAGGCCCCATGTTACCCAGTACCTTCTTTTTACCTTTTCAAAGGGTAAGGATCAGTATATCAAACTATCTATCTGTGTAAACTATGTTAACTACATACTAGTCATGCTTTCAGAACCATCTGGGAGTTATTTTACTGATGACAATATGACTATTTTGACAACGGTATGTCATAAAATAATATTTAAATAAAGATTGAGTAAAAGGTTAGATAAAATTGGTTGTCAGGTCCATGGAAAACCTGAGTTTGTAAAGCCTTGTCATGGGTCATGTAGTTCATGAGTTAAAAGGTATTTTTCAGGTGAACCTCTTGTAGTTTACAATTTAATACTCATGTGAGTGATGCAATCTCTTTTTCACCAGCAGGGGTCAGTGAAAATATGCAAGGACTGGAAAGAACTAAAAAACAGAAAGAGTCAGTGAAGACAGAACTTAAAGAAGAACAGAAGAGATTCTTGCAACATAACTTACAAGATGAAATGTCTAAAAACAATGTGTCTTTGATTCCAAAAGATCTTAAGGGTAACGATTTTTCCTCTGACAAAGATGATCAATGTAACCCTTCTGAAGTACTTAAACAGCATGCTGTTTCATCATCTGAACACTCCAATCATGCCTATCCTCTTGCATCCAGTAAATATGTTCTTGACCATAATTGTCCAGCAACTGACCTGGAATATGATCCATTGCTAAACTATTCTGCAGGCTTACTTAGCTCTTCTTTAGCAAAAGAGGATGAAAATGACAAACAGCAATTTCAGCAGGTGGAAGCATCTCCTTGTGACAATCAGCAGGTGTTTTTGGAGACTGTATTTGAAAACAAACATTGTTCTCCAAAGAAGAGAGCAAGGAGCTCTTCACCTATAAAACTTGAAATAAACCTCCAAGAATCTGATGATGATGATGTTCTTGTAATTGATGTTCCTCCATTGACTCTCACTAAGAAGCCAAAAATAAGTAGGAGCTATAAAAAATTGGAATGGGAAGAAAAATGTGCTTTTGTAACACTTGCAGATAATCTGCAGAACAGAGAGGGAGCAGAAGAATGCAAGTCTGCAGAGGAAAAAAGAACACTGGGCAGTGGAGGTCTACAGAAAAATAGCAAGGGTTTAGGCAACACTGAAGAAACACTGAAAATGTCATCAAAAACTCAAAGCACAAACTTCCTGGATGTGAAAATTGATGTCTTAAAGGTTTCTAATAACCTCCAAGAACACAGAAATGCTCTTACTAATTCTAATGAAAATAACATTCCTTTGCTTTTTCGTACTGTGGTAGGAATGCAGAAAGAAACATTGAATACAAGTAACGCACAGACTGAAATGCCAGTGAAAACATCTAATGTTGAAGAACATGCTAATTACAACTTCCCAAGTGCCCCAAGTATGCTCCAGATAAGTTGGTGTTCTGAAGATAGTTTAAAAGATAGATCTGCTGTAACCCAGGGTACTCCTAAGAAATTATCAGAAAATACAAATGAAGCTCTGTGTACCTGGGAAAATGGGAGAGACAAACTGCTGGACAACATATCTAGCCATCCATCTGATAAATTAAATTTGTTCAAAGAAACTGGTCCTGATACAGGTGTCTTAATTAAAAACTTTAATGAAGGAAGTGATAGTTGTAGGATTCAAGCTAACAGCAAAGAAAGTGAAATAATTGTATTAGATTCTTCTTCTGAAGAGATGGATTATAGTGAAGAGGATTCATCAGTCTCTGAATCAGATGATCCCACAGAAGAATGCCGGAGAATTTTCAATGAGTTTGTTGAAAGTGAAGCACTGAAGGAAAAGATGGCTAACCAGGTGCTTTCCTTTGCTTCCGCACTTTGTGGTGCTAGTGAGTGGGAAAAGAGGGAGAAGAATCAGCCATATTTTCCATGTTATCTCAAATCATGTAACTTGATCTAGTGTCCAACTGTATATTTCTCAGACCTTAATTTAGCGTTCTTTGCTCAGAATTGGTGAACACATTCAAATGTTGTTCAAAGGTGCATGGGGATGCTGATACATGAGATGCTGTGGGCTCTCACAGCTACTCTGATTAGAGCACCGCACCCCCAACCTCCCAGAGCATATGTAAAAATGCCTTTAGTACCCAGTGCTGTTTGCATTCTCAGAAACACTTATTTCTGTGTACCCAATGTTGTTCTAACAGCAGCTACACTGCTAGGTGTTTTGGCATGTAGCCTGAATGGAAAGGACAGCAAGAGTCAGGGCATCTTTTCATGGCAACACTTTTGTGTACTGTTAGGACATGTCTACATCTCCTATAAATCATGGGGAGCTGTGTCTATTAGCAAACTTTAAAAAAATCTCTAAATGACTCCTTTGGGCACTCAAGCTGAAATTTGATATATGGCGACCTTACATTTGTGACTCTGCTATTGTATAATTTTTTTTTTAATGACTTTCTCAAACTTGGCAATCAGCTGAATATGAATTAAATTGAAGTTTTTATTTTTATGGTATTTCGTATCTAGAAATATCTTTAAGCCTTGAAAATTGTTCTACTTTTTCTTAAACATGAATGTCTCACCATGGATCTGATACAGGAATGCATATATATCTGTCTAAGGTACCTTTAGATTTTTTTTTGCATGTCCAGATTTTTTTTTCCGATTCATTGCAACGATGAATAGGAAAATGAGTAAGCTATCAGAGTTTTTAGGGACTTCATATGGGTTTGTACACTTTTTGTAATTAATAATGAGAACATACATTCTCTTTTTCCTATTTTAATAGGCCCATGGTATAAATTCTGAAGCTGAGGCATTGGATTGCAAGACAAATACAGGTTTTGGGCAGAAGAAAAGAATTGCTCATACTGCAAAATTTGATGTGAGTTGTTCTGGTAACTTTTAAGAGCATTTGCTCTCTGCTCATATTATGTGTATATGTGCTAGTTTATCTTCTTTGTTGTAGGTTAATACCTTTTGGGGTGCAAGGTGAGATGTACATTAAACTAATAGATTCATTCAGTTTTACTAAGCTCTGTTCTCATTTGTACCAGAAAGGTTCTATGATGGACAACTGTACTATTCAGATACTTTTCAGTAATTAAACTGTCACCATAACAAAGTAGGACTCAAGGCTTTGTTCCATTTCAATAAAGGAAGAGTCCATAGTGAGCTAGTAGTTTCTTAAAATGAATCGCTTCACCATTCTCTTTTTTTTTTCAGTACAGCTGTACATTTATAAGCCTGAGATTAGTTACGTTGACTAGCAATTCAAAGCACAGAACAGTTATCCTTTTATCTGAAGTGCTGGGAGTCCTGATTTTTTTTATGAATTAAATTATTCTTCAAGCGAAAACGTCTATCACAATAGCTTTAACAGATGTTACCTTTTATATACCCTTGACAAACGAGCAGTACCTGAACATTTATAGAAGAATTGCATTTGGTTCTAAGCTGTTCTTAATTTACGTTTTATGCAAAATAGGAGTATTTTATACATGGCTTTTATATATTGTTTTCAGATGTCTACTGTTAAATGTCTGTCTTATAACACTTATATGGACATGGAAAACTCCACAAAATAAGCAGTTTCAGAGTAGAAACTCTATCTTTATTGCTAGGGACAGAAATTACGTATAAACCAGTATAAATAATTAGAAACCAGTTCAAATCTAACAACAGAAATGGGAGAAACTTGTTTAAGATGAACCCGGATGGATGTAGTATAAGACTTAACTGCTTTAGGTTAAAATGATATTTCTGTCCCAGGTCCATTCCAGATTCAAGTTGACTCATAGTTGCCCAGCATCCCAGGATGCTTTACATCTCATGGGGTGGGTGGGCTAGTGTTGGCCCAAGCTCCAGTGAAGCAGGGAGATGTGCTGTAGTGACCTCCAGCTCTGGCCTGGGCCACTGCAGGCGTGTGGCTATATTTCCAGAATAAAAATTTAGTGTCTGTTCACTTGGTTTTCAACTCAATCTATGCAGTTTAGACTAACCTGTGAAGATTGAACTGGTTCAGCCTTGAGCTTTTTGACTGTCTGTACATACTGAGCCTAGAAATCTTCTGTTGTCATCCTAACTACATAAAGTGTTGGGGGAGGAGAGGATGAGGATAAGGATGAAAATAATAAGAATGTGTAGTTGCTTAAGTGGAGTGTGTGGGGGAACACACTTTTTAAGTCTGTAGAGTCTGAAACTCAGTTAGTATGGATTAATATATCTCCGCTCAGATCAATGTGGCTATGTCACTTTATGCCTGTTAAAATCTGGTCTTGTAGGGGTTTTTTAAATCCTTTTTGAGCAAGATTACAATTATGGGAGTGTGGCATTTATTTACATCTTGTAAATACATGGCATACAAGTTATCCTTGTAACTTGAAACTGTATCTGACAGATGGAATATACAGATCAATTATTTAACTTCTAACATTTTCATGTCTACCAGGTACAAACTAGCAAAGAAATAATTGTGCCTTTTAAAGCACCTCCTCCACAGCAGGCCAATGCCAGAATCCTGCAGGTACAGCACCAGGCAGCGCAGATAACAGCTGCTGTTAAGAGTGGCCAAGCTTTTGTTGCTGCAACTTCTGGGCAGAAGAAAAATGTATCTGGATCATCAATGACTCAGAGTCAAAGTGTCGGATCAGTGGGTATGAGAAACCAAGTACTTCTTAATTTTTAATAAAATTGTCACTTGGATCAGCTTGAAATCTATTTTATGAAAGTTTTTGTCCTGAAACTTTTGAGCATTGGATCCTCCAGTGAACTCTCTTGCTTCACTTCATTATTTAAAATATTACCCATAATCAAGATTATTAAATGTCAGGATAATGGCATTCTTACAGAGATTCTTGCACTTGTTTTTAGCTGAAGCTTGTACTAAAATGCTTAGAAACTGTTTTTAGAAGAAGAAACAAATCTAGACCAGTTGCAAGTAATCACTTAAGTGGGCAGGACTTTAGAAAAGCCATACATTATGATACCTCCTTTTCTGCTGCTTCCCCCTCTGAACTTATTTTTCTTTTCCTTATGACTCTCTCTGTTGCAAGAAGACAGAAAACCAAAAACACCTTTTATCTTTTATTTTTTTTCATGCTGATGTGGGAACTAAAATGAACTTTTAATCTTTAAACAATCATGTCAATAAATGGTGTGGTCTTACAATCCTCTTTTCTGTGCATGTGAGGGTTTTTCCCCCTTTCATTTCACAACAGTTAAGTAGCTGCATTAACTACTGTGGCTTAAAAAACAAAACAGAAACACTTCAGATAAATAGCTATGGGGGTAGGGAGGTAACTACTGTTTTCCCATTTTGGGGGTTTTTTTAACTCTGTATTTGAAGTAACATTTAGTGACTTTTTTTCAGGTGTGAGGAAGGGGATTGGGGGGGGGGGGAAACAAACTAGTCTCAGAACAGACTGAGCTACTGTTTCATGTTGTGTAACTATTTCCCTTTTTCCCCTTTGAAGTGGTACATTGCTTGTGCCAAGCATACACCTTAAGTAGAGGTGTGTGAAGTGGTATTTGATTCTGATTCAGGGGACAGTGATTCAGCTTGTTGGGGTGGTTGTTGTTGTTGTTTTGGTTTTTTTGGGTTTTTTTTTTTTGGATCACTGTCCCAATTTCAATTCGTCCAAATCTGAAGATTCAGTGCTGATTCAGACAAAGTGATTTGGCCATAGATGCACCTTCATCTGGCTGGGTTTTTTTCATTGTTTTTTCTACATGCCTCAAGATACCAGGTGTAGCTCGTGAATGCTGAGATGGTGGGGTGAATGGAGCATCCCCCAGGAGCACAGGGGTGGTGGTGGTGGTGAATGCTTGGCAGCAGACCCAGAAGTGGACTGGAAGTTCTTCCAGTCCACTTCTGGGTCCACTGCCAAGCACATGGGGTGACCCCTCCTCCCTTGCCCCCCATGCTCTGCAGGAGAACCAGAAGTGGACCGGAAGTACCTCTGGTCTACTTCCAAGTCTGCCACCAAACATGCTGGGGACTCCCTTCCCACTCCCATGGGATGCTCCATCTGCCCCACCATCTTGGCATTCATGAGCTGGCTGGTACCTTGGTATGTAGAAAAAAGATAAATCTGTGTTTATGGCCAAATTCCGATTTGGAGAGAGTCAGCAGCCTCCAATTCAATTCAGAGAGATTAATGGGTCTCCTGAGTCAATTCAGACATTTGGCTGCCAAATGGGGCTGAATAGAATCGGCGACCAAAGCTTCACACAGCCCTTGTATTAAGTATGTCCAGAGTGTAGTGTTTGACTTAGAAGGCCTCTGTCTAGCAACTTGTTTCCTTAGTCTCTGAGGTTGCATTTTACTTGCTTCATATTACTAAAAAGACTTGGTGGAAAGTGCTTTGAGTGAAATTTGTGTAAAAGGTTCATGAAGCTAAGATATAACTGAATGAATTTTTTCTGTACTTTCCTACTTTTTTTTTTGTTCTACTGGACTTTATGGTTTGAGCATGCACTTGCCTAAAAGCTTAAAGATAATCTTTAGATCCAGTTACTTAGTCACTTCTCTTAAACATTGATATTACTGTAATATCTACATATATTCCATATAAAATTTAATGAGAGAGCATAAGAATGACTTTACACTCTACCTAGATGCTGGCTATTCCTAAAGCTTGGCTAACCCACTTTGGTTAGCAAAAGGAAGGTGGGGGTTTTTTATGTGCATCTCCCTTCAGTGGGAGTAGATTGAGCTAGTAACATTTAACTCCTTCACCATGAAAAATAGTTTTTCTCTTTTCTTCTTATTTCAGTTTCTTTAAATATGCTTGAAGTTCAGCCTGTTACAACCAGTCAACTAAATGTGGTTCTACAAGGAAATGCTGTAATGGGAATGCCGTACAGATCTTCTAATCTTTCAGTAAAACGGACTGCACCCATGCCTATGAAGGTACAGTAGCAGGATGAAAACAAGCATTCATTTGTGTGCCCAAATTCTGTAATTGCCATGTAAAAGGCTGTTGCCTTAAATACTGCATAATGTGGCATCTAATATTAAATATTAATCCATGTTTTAAATATTCTCTTGTACTATGTATGCTACTCTGAAATTTGTTATAACAGTAAATTTTAATATTATTCTGTCACATTTTTAAGCAGTAGAAATTTAAGCAGTATTTTGCAATATACCAATGAGAGTTCTTATTGTCATAGCTAGGGAAAAAGTTTGAGAAGGAAAAACTATGAGCTAATATTTTTAATAGAACTCTTTAAAAATTAAAAAAAGTATATAGGAAACTTGTGGAGTCTTACACAAAGTAAAACCAAACTGTTCTGTTCCAAGTAACAAAATCTGGAGAATACATCAAAATAACAAGTCCCTTTTTAAAAAAAAAAAAAAAAAA